ACTCTATAAGAACTTATTATTAATAAAATTAAATTAAATTAAAGTTTTGGTAGTTACAGGTATACTATTGATTTATTGAATTTGGTGACTGCTATCATAATGGTAGAGTTTGACTGTCTCCTTTTGGGTGCAATTCAAGAGCATTTTATTGATAATGATATTTTATAGGTTCTTGGTTTTCCTGGAGTGGAAATTGGTTCTCACATAAATGATTGGAATCTTGATGACCCAGAACTACAACCAGTATTTGCTGTAAGCTATTCCTTTTCAGTATTTATTAGGGGAACTTAAATTACAGCCAAACCTGTTTTAAGTGGTCACCCATGGGAAATGATGAGGTGAAGGTTAAGTACAGCTTGACCACTTGATAAAGGTTGACCATGAAATGACTTGCATAATGTTTGTCCATTATAGTTGTGCTAACAGTCCAAAGAAAAAAGATGACTGGAAATTTGAACTCAGAGTACTAAGTTAAACATTAATTTTGGGAGAATTAACCGTGGTATAAGTTTCAAAGAAATTTGGTATCTAAATATTTATTAAGTATTCTCATCCTATCAGGCCGCAGAGGAGCTGGGTTGTGCAATTTTTGTTCATCCTTGGGACATGGAGTTAAAAGGAAGGATGTCCAAGTACTGGCTGCCCTGGCTTGTTGGTAAGTAAGCCTTGCTTGATCAAGAGCTGCTTGTATTTAAGTGCACATTGTAGACCTTCACTGACTTTCTTGATTTAAATAGTTCATGGTGATTAAGAAAATATGTGGTTGTAGGAATGCCAGGTGAAACTGCCCAAGCAATCTGCTGTATGATATTTGGCGGAGTTCTGGAGAGACATCCAAACCTAAAAGTGTGTTTTGCTCATGGAGGTGAGAAAAGTATAATTTCCAAAACTGGGTGTTGGAGGGCTCTGTGTTTACCAAATTGAATGCAGAACTCATAAGCTGCATGAGACTGGGAAAAATTGTCTCATTTTTGCCAAGGGTAAATTGTTTACAAAGTTGGTTATTTTCGAAAGTGACTGCAATGTTTCAATTAGATACAATGAAATATATGAAGTTCATATATTTTGAACTGCGGTATTAGATACGTATGATGCATGATCCTCGCAGTAGATAGCGCTATTTAAGCAATAGCGAAAAGCAGACCTGAAAAAAATCAGGCCTGTATGGGATTTGAACCACTGACCTCTGCGATACTAGTGCAGCGCTCTACCAATTGAGCTAACAAGCCAACTGGGAGCAGGCCGTTAAGTTGATTCGTAATAAACCCGTGAAAGTGATAAATCAGATACAATGAAATATATGAAGTTCATATATTTTGAACTGCGGTATTAGATACGTATGATGCACGATCCTCGCAGTAGATAGCGCTATTTAAGCAATAGCGAAAATCAGACCTGAAAAAAATCAGGCCTGTACGGGATTCGAACCACTGACCTCTGCGATACTAGTGCAGCGCTCTACCAATTGAGCTAACAAGCCAACTGGGAGCAGGCCGTTAAGTTGATTCGTAATAAACCCGTGAAAGTGATAAATCAGATACAATGAAATATATGAAGTTCATATATTTTGAACTGCGGTATTAGATACGTATGATGCACGATCCTCGCAGTAGATAGCGCTATTTAAGCAATAGCGAAAATCAGACCTGAAAAAAATCAGGCCTGTACGGGATTCGAACCACTGACCTCTGCGATACTAGTGCAGCGCTCTACCAATTGAGCTAACAAGCCAACTGGGAGCAGGCCGTTAAGTTGATTCGTAATAAACCCGTGAAAGTGATAAATCAGATACAATGAAATATATGAAGTTCATATATTTTGAACTGCGGTATTAGATACGTATGATGCATGATCCTCGCAGTAGATAGCGCTATTTAAGCAATAGCGAAAATCAGACCTGAAAAAAATCAGGCCTGTACGGGATTCGAACCACTGACCTCTGCGATACTAGTGCAGCGCTCTACCAATTGAGCTAACAAGCCAACTGGGAGCAGGCCGTTAAGTTGATTCGTAATAAACCCGTGAAAGTGATAAATCAGATACAATGAAATATATGAAGTTCATATATTTTGAACTGCGGTATTAGATACGTATGATGCACGATCCTCGCAGTAGATAGCGCTATTTAAGCAATAGCGAAAATCAGACCTGAAAAAAATCAGGCCTGTACGGGATTCGAACCACTGACCTCTGCGATACTAGTGCAGCGCTCTACCAATTGAGCTAACAAGCCAACTGGGAGCAGGCCGTTAAGTTGATTCGTAATAAACCCGTGAAAGTGATAAATCAGATACAATGAAATATATGAAGTTCATATATTTTGAACTGCGGTATTAGATACGTATGATGCACGATCCTCGCAGTAGATAGCGCTATTTAAGCAATAGCGAAAATCAGACCTGAAAAAAATCAGGCCTGTACGGGATTCGAACCACTGACCTCTGCGATACTAGTGCAGCGCTCTACCAATTGAGCTAACAAGCCAACTGGGAGCAGGCCGTTAAGTTGATTCGTAATAAACCCGTGAAAGTGATAAATCAGATACAATGAAATATATGAAGTTCATATATTTTGAACTGCGGTATTAGATACGTATGATG